TTTTTTTTTTTTGAGGGATCTCCCTGAAATAAAGTATTTTGATAACCAGTTTTTCCTTTTCCTGCTCTTCTCTCTGCATCCCCCCTGCTCACCCTCTCCCCAACCTTGGGGGTCTGTACCCCTCAGTTTGAGGGGAGTTGTAGTTTAATTTTTCAACTCTGCTGCTCCATGGAGCTGGAAGAGCTGCTCTGTCTCCTAGAGGAGCAGCCAGTGTGAAACCAGTATCCCAGTGGTGTGTTAGTGGGGGCTCCTCAGCTCGTGCCCTGACTGGCATCATCTGGGGGTACCTCTTATAAAGCCCTCTCGTTTAGGGGTGATGTTTAGGCTCCCTGAACCCCCAGTCCCCTGGAATTTTGCCACCTTCAGTCTTGCTCCTTACTCCCAGTATAAAACCAGTATTGCAGTGGTAGTGGGGGTCATCATCTGGGGGTGCCTCTGACAAATCCCCCTTATTTAGAAGTTGATATTTGGGGTCCCTGAACCCCCAGTGTGCCATTCCCATCTTCCAGCCCTGCTCCTTGCACCCAGTATGAAACCATTATCCACTGGTGGTGTTAGTGGGGGGCCCAGCGTCTGATACCACCTGGGGGTGTTCTGTATAAACCCCCGTCAATGAGGGAACTGTCTCTGGGGTCCCTGAACTCCCTGTCCCAAGGCTCCAGCCCTGCTCATTGCTCCCAGTATGAAACCAGTATCCCACTGGTATTACATGTTAGTGGGGGGGGCATCATCTGGGAGTGCCTCTGATAAACCTCCCTCATTTAGGGGTGATGTTTGGGGTCCCTGAACTCCCAATCTCCTGAAGTTTCCCATCCTCCAGCCCTGCTTCTTGCACCCAGTATGAAACCGGTATCCCACTGGTGGTGGTAGTGGGGGTGTCTCTACAGGCAGTGCCATGAGTGGGATCATCTGAGGGTCCCTCTGATAAATCCCCGTAATTTAAGGAACAGTATTTGGGGTCCCTGACTTCCCAGTGCTCTGGAATTTCCCATCCTGCAGCCCTGCTCTTTACACCCAGTATGAAACCAGTATCCCACCGGTGCTGTTTGAGGCCCCTGGGACATCCTGGAGCAAAGAGCATCAGTGGGGGGTAATCGCTGCCCTTCAGCCCTTTCCAGGGTTGCCCAATTTGGGATTTCTGCTCTGGCAGCCCCGGTGATATCACTGCGGGGGTGACGCAACGGGCATGGCCTGGGGGATGCCCATCACCGTGTCATCGGGGCAACCAAGCCTCTGGACACCCCTTCCCATCCTCCCTCCTGAAATCCTGGAGGTGTCAGGCTGTATTCCAGGCTGGCACACGTGGAGTAGAGAAGGAAGTGCACCGGCCCGCGGGGAGGAGGAAGGAACCTGGAGCTGGAGTTTCCAGGTGTGTGCACATCACCTGCCGAGCCCTATAAAAAGGCGGCGGCAGCAGCAGCGCTGCCACTCGGCCGCCTCATCCCTGGGGCAGCACTTCCCAAGGGGTCCCCCCGAATTTTGGCGTGTTCCCCCCCCCAAAAAATTTTGGCGTGTTTACTCCCCCCAAATTTTGGCGTGTTCCCTCGACACCTGGCTGATGGTAACGTGGGGCTTGGGGGGGGGGGAGGGGGGGGGGCTGGAAGGTGTGAGCGTGGGGCTGCTGGGAGTGTGTGGGCACAATATGTGTGTGTGTGTGTGTGTGCGTGTGTGTGTGTGTGTTACATCATGTGCAGGGCTGTGTATGTGTGTGCACACCTGTGCACAGGTGTGTTTGTGTGTGTGTGTATGCGTGTGTGTGTGTATAAGGATTCCCAACTTGTAAGGGTGGGAATGTGAAGGCTGGTGTGTGTAGCTACACATGTGCCAATGAGATGTGTGTGCATGTGGACAGGCGTGCTGCTGGGTTTGTACTTGGAGACATGTATTTATGTGTGTTTATATTGTATATATGTGTGTGATATGTGGGGGAATACAGAGCTGCCCAGAATTATGTGCACACCTGCCAGGGACACAGATGTGTTTGTGGCTGCTGGGGAGGGGGGTGGGGGTGTCTATGTGCCCACAGAGGGGCTGTTTGGAGGGGGGTGTGTGTGTGTGTGTGTGTGTGTGTGTACGTGTGCTGGCACACCTGGCCATGTGCATGTATGGATATGTCCTGTCAGCTCTGCGTGGGTGTGGAGATGCACCGGAGCTGATACCGCTGTGTTTGTGTGTGTGTGTGTGTACATACATGTCTCTCTGTGTCCATACATGTGTGTCCATACATGTGTCTGTGTGCACATGTATGTATTTGTGTGCACGTGCATGTCTATGTGTGCACGTGTGTGTGTACATACATGTGCCTCTGTGTACATATGTGTGTGTGTGCACATACATGTATCTGTGTGTGCACATACATGGGTCAACTGTGTGTGTGTCCACGTGTCTGTGCACAGCAGGGTAGTGTGGGCATGTAGATGTGAGTATATATATGTATATACATACATATATACTTTTATTTTATATATGTGTGTGTGTGTGTGTGTGTGCGCGCTTGTATCTATGTATGTGTGCACACACAAATAATGTGTGTGTTACACACGTGCTGGTATCTTCATGTGCACACACGTGCCTGTGCTGATACCCTGTGTGTGTATACGCTACCAACACTAACATAATTTTATTTATTATTGCAAGGTTTTAATGTATTATTTATATTTTATAGTTTTATTTAATATTTTAATACAACAATAGAACTTATATTACTTTCATTCTATATATTTTATTTAATATGTATTTTTATGTTATTTCTTTATATTTAAACAGTATTTATTAATTATTTCAGATGTGCACACATACACAAACAAAAAGAGGCACTTTCTGTCTGTGTCTGTACATAGATGTCTATACGTGCGTGGGTGTGTATGTACAGGTAGTTTCTGCATGTGATTAGCTGTAAACATGTTTGGGTGCATGTGCATGTTTGCACACACGTGTTACTCCTGTAATGGTGGCGATGTGTTTGTTATATATGTGTGCTGGCTCTGTGAGCATACATATATGTGTGTATATGTATGTATGTATAAGTGTATGTGTATAGGTATATGTGTGTATATATATGTATATGTGTGTGTATGTATGTTTACATCTATGTGTATGTGTATATGAATATATATATATGTAGATGTACATATATATATACACACATACATACACACAGGTATTCTCTGTGTGTGCATATATATGTATATATGTAGGTGGTTGTTGTGTATTTATAGCTCAGGATATGTGTGTGTGTGTGTGTGTGTGTACATGCCTGTATCACATATGTGCTACATCTTTAGGGTTGGGGGCATGTATAGGTGAGTGTTGGCCCTGTGTGTGTGTGCATTCTGTATTTTGTGTGTATATAGATGTACATATGTGTATATATAGGTAGCTGCTGTGTATGTATAGCTGTGTATATATGTTGATTTTGTGTCTGTATGTACATGTGTCTTGCACACACGTGCCACTGTCTTAGGGGTGGAGGTGTGTATACATCTGTTCTAGCCCTCTGTGTGTACATATATCTATATATTTATATACAAATATTCCCTGTGTGTCTATATATGCACAGGTAGTCCCTGTGTATGTATGAGGGGGTGGTGTTGATACTGTGTGTGTAAGTGCGTGTGTCACATATGTGCACTATTTTTTTTAGGGGTGGGGATATATAGAGAGATGAATAGCTACATAGATATGTAGATACAGAAATATACAGATAGATACAGATATTGAAATACATAGAGATAGATAGACAGAGATATACAGATATACAGAAATAGATATATATATATAGATACACATACACACATGTGCCCACGCTCTGGGCGCTGGTGCACCTGTGGGTGAAGACTCAGATTTTGGGGAGGCTGTGCTGGAGCTCAGTGTGTTGAACCTCTCCCATGTTTGGGGGTGGTACCATCTCACCACTGAGCCCCCTGGGTGTGTGGGGGGGGGTTACCGCTGTGCCCCCTGACCCGCTGTCTCCCGCAGGGCTGGCTGGGTGCCCTGGCGCTGCTGGGCGTGCTGGTGCTGTGCCAGGGGCTGCGGCGCCCCGGGGGTTCCCCGCACTCCCATTCCGTGCTGTGCTACAGCGGCGCCGAGCTGGGGGACGAGGCCCCCGCGCAGCTCCTGGGGCGCAGCCTGCGCTGGGACCGCTACGTGCCCGTGCAGCTGGTGCCACAGCTGGAGCAGCTGGAGAGCACCAGGCACCGGCGGCACCGGCGGCACCGCCCGCACGCCTGCCCCACGCTGCAGTCCCGTGCCAGCCTCCGCAGCGAACCCAACGAGCGCTCCATCTCCCCGTGGCGCTACCGGTGAGTCCGTGACACCCCACCGGGACCCCAACCTCCATGTCCGCCCTTCCCAGTACACCCCCATTGGCTGATCCCAGCAGGGGTGACCCAGGGGGCACAGGGAAGGGTCTCACCGAGCGTGTCCACCCCGCAGCATCGACGAGGACGAGAACCGGTACCCGCGCAAGTTGGCCTTCGCCGAGTGCCTGTGCAGCGGCTGCGTGGACGTCAAGACGGGCCGGGAGACGACGTCGCTCAACTCAGTGACCATCCACCAGACCATGATGGTGCTGCGGCGCAAGCCCTGCCCACGCCCCACCGGGCTGGGTCTCGTTACCTTCGAGGTGGATTATATCAAGGTGCCCGTGGGCTGCACCTGTGTCCTGCCCCGCACCAGGCGCTGACCCTCCCCTGCTCCCGTGGAGCCCCCATAGTGTGACCATGTCACCTCATCCCCTCCACCTGTGCTTGTTTTAGAGCACCCACCCCCAGCCAGGGCATCCTCCCAGCCCCTCACCTCATTATTTATGAGTTATTTATAAGCCTTGCAGCCAGGGGACTTTTTTTACCCTGTATTTATTGCTGACTTCCACAGCTGTGACTCCGGGTCCAGCATTGCTCCACAGTGCTCAAGACCCCTCGGCCGGACCCTGCGAGCGCTGCCTGGGCACTCGCTGGTTATTTATTCCCCCAAAAAGCTATTTATTGTCTCCTCTCTGTTTGCTATTTAATGCTGCAAATAAAAGCTAACCTTTCCCAAAACGGTCCCTGCTCTGTTCCCAGTCAGGGCAGTGGGATGTTAGGAACTGGGGGCACATCCATGGGTGGCCCGTGGAGCAAGGTAAGGCTGTGGGATATCCCTTAGTGGGATGGGCAAAGGGCAGGGTGAACTGGGAGGTTGATGGAGTGGGCAGCAGGGCACAGGGGTGCCACCCACCCCCAGCAGCCTGACACCCACACCTTACACCCACATCCCATGGGCCTGGTGCCACCTGCCAGGGCCACCCCACCTGTCCTGGCAGCACCTGGGGGAGCTCTGGGGTGGCTGTGCCCCCCCCAAAAATTGTTTGTGTGGGAAGGGGTTTTGGAGCAACTGCTGGTGCCCAGCGGAGTCAAGGTTTGGCACTCACATCGCACCCAAGCACCTTCCAGCATCCACAAAAGGAACTGTGGAAGGGAAATCCCCCCACATTCCCTGCTGGGGTGTCATCCCAGCTTTTGGGGAGCTCCACTGGGACTCTCTGTGCAGCTCTAGTGCAGGGCCCCTCCAGTTTCACCCCACTGTCGGGTCCATAAGGATTTTGGAAGGAGACCCTGCAGTGGCTGCACTCTGAACACGCCCACCCTGGGTTTGCCCATAATCGCACCGTTTGGCCTCAAAACGTCCCCCCAATCCAGCCCCAGCCTCCCCAGATCAGGAGACCCTCCCTGGGAGTGGGAGGCTCCTCCAGGGTGTGGGAAGCAGCGGGAGCCAGTGCCTTTCCCACTTTTTATTGCAACAGCAACTGCGGAAGTGACAAAAAACAGGGAGTGCTGGTGATGAGA